TTTCATATTCGTTTCTGAAGTGACATACAAATTTTAAGATATTTCCTGATGGCTACTCATACTTTAATCCAGTGAAAAACTTGCTAACAACTATTATGGACCAGAGTAGTATGACATACCTATTCCGCATTTACAAGCTCCCCGACAGTCCTCTACGCAACTTGAGCAATGCTACGCCTCTACACATTCAAAGATAGCGCGGTGTCGTAAGTCACAAACGAGGTGGTGTCATCGCCAGGGAGAATTATCGTCCATATAGGCTTAAGCATGACTACATCAACTGGTGCAAATACTTATCCCCAAAAGTACATCATTTGGTGGGGCCATGCTAAATCAAATGTTCCGTACTCCGTTGATGTCCATGTAAAATGATACAAAACAAACCAACCGTATCGATGAAAAAGCATGTGTTTTTTTGTGAAAGACCAAGTGATCAGTTTGACAATCGACAACGACTTCATTCAATCGTAAAAATATATTTAAATAGATTAACAATTACATCAATTTTTGTCTGTCCTTCCATCAATGATCACTTTCCACGTTCTGACTTGAAACTAAGTCATTGAGCAAGGGGTCTATTGAATGAGAATTCATGCTGGCACAAAATTTTGTGTTGTTTATAAATGACGTTTCATACGTTATATCATTCAACTTGAATGGAAAATTTTTCGACTTGAATGGGAAGAGGTGTAGAATCAAGGTCGAAAAGAGAAACCAGGGAAAATACGACACCCGACAAACTATGACCACCCCTGTACTTTGATATGGCTAGTCAATACTGTAAATCTTCTATTTATATTGTACCATATTTTAATTTGAATGAATATTGCTATTATTTTGACAACAAATTTTGTCATGATAAAATAAGTAGGCCAATTTCCTGCATGATTTGATATAGACAATTCAACCAATTGAATAGAATCATTCAGCTCTGTGATTGACCAGCATGAATTTGAGTTTCAATTCTACCCACGTCACCGATACAACGGATACAGCTTACCGCCATCTTTAGCTACCACAAGCAAACGACTCGAGCAGGGTACATGATGTCGATGTACGATATGCCACATAGTCACTGTGTGCTGGAACCTCAGCATTTCCGTTATGATGTCCACTGATCCTGATCCTTACTTAATGGAAGGTTTAATAAACTCTTGTTCTGTGGTTTTCAACATAATTTGTTTTCCACGAGATGTCCTGTATGTTGAAAACGTATACCGGAATATTCCGAAGGCAAAACGATATTCTTGTTACAGTCATAGCATCTAATTTGACGAATTCCACTAGAGTTGTTGACTCGTTAAAAAGTCCCACTGAACCGTCCATCAAAGCAATTTCGCGCGGTGGCCTACACAAGGTCTGTAGCCAAAAAATGCATGTATATTGGTCAGGCGAACTAATGACGACTGCGAGGGCACGCAATGTGACACCATTACCGGCTCATTTTAAAGTGCTCTGCCACGCACTCCAGTAACGCAGCTTGTCATTTGAAAGCATTCCTTTCAGAAATATTTGTAGTTTTCTAAAGCGTTTTACAGTAGTATTTGATGCAGGTACGTCATGGTCGTGCCTGCACACGAAATGACGTCCAGTTTCCCGTCACATGGAGTTAACACACGGGCGTCAACGACCTTGCCGCTGCGTCCGCGATGTAGTCAAAGGTACAGCTTCTGCACACTCTTTTCTACCAATCACCCAGGATATAGCACTTCAAGTAAATAACTTGAATGTAGATGCAATGAACTCTTGTTGACGGTAATTTTGTTGCAATGCACATTTCAAGAATACTTACCTGTACCACTGGCGACATTTCCCGTGGCTCAATATATTCTCGGCATCTTTGGCCTTCATGTTGCTGGTTCTAGACGACGGATTTATCATGGTTGAAAGCTGTCCAAACTCTTAGCGGCGGGCGTCCATCAAGGCGAGAAAACCGTCTGGGTCGGGGGTGACGGCTGGTCTGCCGGCGCGAGGAGTGTTCTTGGCCCTGTTGTTACCGTTGAACTTGACGAGCTTTGCTAGAACTCGCTGCCAGTTGGAGACGCAGCTTTACGAGAATAACAATTCTGTTGTGATCTGTCGAATCAACATGGATTGGAGCAGCTCGATTACGGGGAGCGGAAGAGCTTTCGGGTACAAGTGCCAGTGCGTGGTTCTGCCATCGGCGGAAGTATCGGGAAGATCCATCCAAGATGCCGTAGTGGAAATTGCAATGTGATGTGAATTATGACTTAATGACACCATCAATCGCTGTGAACTGGCAACGGATGAATGGTTGGCCCTTCGATTTTCGGTAAGATGAAATAACTCCTTTAACCAAAAATATTGGTAAATCAAATCAAGACGCGTGATTGGTCAGTGATATATGTTTTCCCGCGTGCAGCGGCGGCAGGACAATTGCATTTGGATACAGCAATGTGTGGCCAAAGATGCGTACAAAAATAAAAGCACAGCTTCGACGAAGCAGTTACCAATTCATATCGTTCAAGGTCAATCCCAACGAAGTCATGAATCTAAAAGTGACTGCGAAGTGATCGTTACAACCTAACATCCCGCGCTGAACTAGATGTAGCTGGGTAGTGTAGAGGTCCGAAATTCTTGATTACGATGAAAACATGAATAAAAAACATCGAATCCAGAAGATGCCGCGAAGGTTTCCCTGACCCAGCAAACCGAGAGACCTTCATCCAAGGCATGCGACTTCACAAAGGCGCTTACCATCACAGTGAAAGATTCTGGTACTCAATAAAACCATAGGTTGTGAGCATAAGGCGCTAAATTAATGAGCATTCGGAACGGTGGAAATAATCACACTTCACTCGTTGGATACAACGCTGGAGATAAACTCAAGACCACAACCGATATTGACGATGAAACAAAGTCTCAACACATTAAGAGTATCGTGGCCGATCTAGTCGTGTTCGAGAAATGTTTAGCAAAACAATTGAACTATCCAAGGTTTCTATTTATCGACTTTTGAGACATTACTATAACAATAGAACATAATCCGTGATATTATCCCAGACGAGAAGTTTAGGACCACCCTGCTCTGTATTCACTTCTGACGGATATTTATAGCAGTGGAAACTGGTCGAGTAGCCAATGTTTAATAAGCGGTATTACTGCTTGCATGAGTGTCGGGCGAACGTTTCCACAGTTTCCCTTCGTTGAACCTTTGATACATGCCAAACTTGTCCATTATTAATAAACAAAGATGAATCTCTGTCGTGTAGTCTCAGCAGAATTTCCATTGATCACGTAACCTAAAACTATATATACGAACTCCTAATCTGTCATATTCATCACAGTAGCACCTGTGGTACCGGTAGAGGTTCCTTCAGGAGACCAACGGGCCAAACCATTGGATCTGTCTAACAGTGGTCGAGGCCAACGTGGGGACCAGGATTAAGGTTATGATATTGGATTTCAATCGACAGGTATAAACTATTTCAAAATAGCTCCTTGAATTGTTGCGATGCACATATTATGTGTTAGAGGTATACGTACTGCACAGTAATGAATTCTGAGTGTACTGATCAGACACTTGCAGTCAGGTTTCCAACATCATTGATCATGAGGGTTTGCCCCAGCGGGATTGTGATCCACGTGCAATACGGTGTTCTCGCAATATACCGTTTCATTGTACAGTAGATAGTACTGTATGCGAAAATGCTCGCGCCTTAGGCGAAATGAAGTGTGCAGTCAGTACCCTAATATGTGCAATCCACATTCCTTGAATGACAGTGAGAGTCTCCAGCGATTCACATGCCGAATCCGAGGCAAGGAAGTGAGAACAAAAAATTCTTTAGTAGCAGTAGTTGTTGCAGCTTTTCCTGTCGTTCGGTCAAGAACGACGATAACGTGAATGGAATCTGAAGACTTCGACGAATGGGACATCGAATCGCGCACCGGAGGACCGTCGTGAGTGATGTCGCGGAGCCCGCGTGGCGGGGAGTGGTTCGAGTCACCGCGTGGACGACAACCGCGAATTGCAGCCAGATGGCAGAGACATGAGCCGTGGAAAGTACCGGTGCCAGTTTGAGTTACCGCGTCCAGTGCGCAGGCAGATAGGGCGGCGGTGGAACTGGTGGCTGGTGCGGCCGAAATCACATCAACGCCGGCTTCGGAGCCGGCTCGTACGGCCCACGAACGCCAATTGCAGCTGAGGCAGCAGAAGAGCGTGGCGATCAAAACATGGGCACAAGTGACCTGATGGTCTACAACGCGTCAGTCATTCCGCAGGTGCCAAAGTTTAAAGGCTCGACAAAGGCGAACGCCTACAATTCATGAGAGAATACAACCAGTACCTGGAGGATCGATTATGTGTTTGAACGGATTATATCCCTGAAGGTATCCCTGTTCGACTCTGGGTCGGGCACGTCTGTGGCCTCAAAGGTTCTGGCCTCGGCACTGTTGGCAGACGGAGCTAATGTGATGGCACGCGACGCGATGCGACCGACGGAGCTAGCATCATATAACGCTGAAGCTCAGACAATCACCTGCACGCAAATGATGAAACTCAGGTCCATGGAGTTTCAGACGTCCCATGGATTACTGGTTCTTTGCGCACTGGACCTGTAGGTTGACTACAACGTGAAAGACAGGGCCGAGACCTTCGCCGGACGGCCCGTAATGAATGCTTTGGGGTGTTATGCCGACGGGGTGCTCGTAGCGGCAACAAAGCAAGCCATCATCTGGATCCTGGACGCTAGTTGCGTTTGCCAAGATGGATTACCCGTGATCCTAGCTGCCATTCGTTACGCCAGGTCGGTGCCGTGCATTGGCGGCTGGGCCCGACTGCGGTGGGCAGCTCCGTGCGGCTTTGTGTGTCGTTGAGAACATGAAGAAACCTTAGACAGAAAGGCCATGTTCAGCATGAAGATCCTATGGGAACTGACTAGCCATCTGATTGGACGGTTGTCGAGGGGATTTATATTGGGTTTTCCTATAGGATGGATTAGCCAGTTGGCTAACCCAGACAGTCTTGCATTTGCTTCCGAGCGCTCAATGTATACCACAAGCTTGCCCGGGAGCCCACTGCTCCCCCATCACTGTGTTCAATTTTTGGTGTACCTGAGTGCCCGGGAGACGCCACAACGCTCTAGATCCAAAGCCAGAGCAGAAGACGACCATGGTGTCGCCTCATTTAGGCGGGGCTGCATGACGACGGGGACGAAGAAGAACGTCTCCCTCCAGTCCGCGACGCCATTACCGTGATCGTTCGACTTGGCTGCGCAGCCGAGCGCGAGGAGGCTGTCTGGGAAGTCCTCGCCGCGAAGCTGGTGCGGGGATAACAAGGCCTCTCTGCCTTGTCGCTTGAGTAGCTGCGTCGGCTGCTCAAGGAGAACACGGATATGTTCCGATTGGAATTGAGCACTGATCCACCTATCAATGCGGAACACCAGGAGGTTCGCGCCAGTGGGATGCGACACCTGTGAAGTGTGGACTGTGCGGTACCTCCCTCTCCACATGGAGTACCTCAAGCGACAACTCGGTGAGCTCGAACCCGCCGGACTCGTCTACCAAAGCAACGGTCGTGGTGAGCGTGAGACCCGCGCGTTGTCCCCGAGAAGGACACCGGCGACTTCCGAATGACGATTGTCGCTCGGTGAATGCCTGTACGTAAGGTATGCCGTAGCCTATGCTTAACCTCGACGCGGCCCTGGCGATGCTGGCTGGCACGTCCGTGTACTTCAACCTCAATTGGATGAAGAGGTATTGGCAGCTGCCATGACACCAGAACAGCCAAGAGATCTTTTTGTTCATGACCATCACGGGGAACTACAACCCCACGAGTGTTATCATAGGTTGTACCGACGTCGTAGTCTTCTACCCGGCGGCGATAAACCAAATGTTCGCGAGTCTGCTATTTCACGGAGTCCTCGGCTGTTAGGACGATTTGCTCGGATATGCGTCGTCCAACGTCCCACTGTTTGGTCTGTTGACCTACAGTTGGTCCTCGGTATTTTCAAGTCCTGTGGCCTCAAACTACACCCCAAGAACTGCGAGATCTCGTGAGGCGTGTAGAGTGGCGTGGCAAAATGATTTCGGCAGACGGGATTACACACACATCGAAGCGAGTACAAGACCTGTGCGATATGGCAGCCCACGACACAGCCGCTGAGTTACAGCAGCTCGTGTGTGCCGTCAATTCGATGCGTGCGTCCATGCCCGAGTACGCCAAGCTGGCGGCACCACTGCTACGGCTGTTGGACGTTGCCGTCTTGGCGGCATATTGTGCGCGACGGAAGTTGGCAGTGGCGAGGACCCTTTGGTCAACATCAGATGGGCCGACGACCGTGTGCCATGTTTCGACGTCGTCAAAGATACTTTGCGCCGCATGGCCACCTGGACCCATCGTATCTCTGACAAGATGGGCTGCCCATATACCGACGCCATCGCCGGCTTTTGCGGTGTTGTAGCCCTCAGATCTCCGTTACCGACCTTGGCCTAGAAACGACTGACCTACGCCACGAACAGCTCGCGCTCCTAGTGGTGCGTTCCGCGGGACCAGCGTGCGCTAACCCATGGTGGAGAAGGAGGGTGTCTGCCATTGTCGAGGATTGCAAGCGCGTCGAGGACCTGCTGTTGTGTTGCGGTGGTGTCTGTCTGTTCTTGGGCCGCCGGATATTGGTGGACATATTCCACCTCGGTGGTGGCGGCGCAAACATACTGGCTGGAAGAGCCAAAAGCGGCGTGGTCAGCTGGCAAACGCCCAGCTAATTCGCCGGCTGTTGATTCAAGGCAGACTGAACAATTGGCACGGTGTCTGACCACTCATTCGCTCGCAACTTCAACTCGCTGGATAAGGCGCGCACCATGCGTATGACGCGACAGTTCGCCACCCCCACTGTCCTATTCGCTCAAGGACAGAGGGGGTTTCGAAGTTATGGTAGGCACCGAACGTTCGACGCAGCTCCTACATCACTC